TGATGTAAGGCTGTAAGTTGTAAGATGATGCAATGAGGATGATGCAAGGAGGTGGTCATTAGAAGGCGTTTCTCTCTCTCTCGTCATGTATCTCATTTCTCTCCTTGTGTTCATAGCTGAGTAGTAAGGAATTTATCTACCATTGTCTGTATACATGCATATAAAAGCCACTATTAATTGTCTAAGGGCTCTGTATGCTGTGTGCTGTGTGCTGTATTTTGTTCCTGGGGTTTATCTCATAATAATACTCACGCTGCCAAAACTCTGACATAGATCTCTACTGTTGATAGGTAAGAACTACCATCTTGAATTGCATCTGCAAGTTTAATGGCATTGAACATAGTGGGAGCGTCCATTACTGGCCATACCACTGGATTTATAAAGTGTAACTTCTGGATGGCCTTCACAGGCAGGTGTCATATACAACACCCTACAATTCCTGGAGCTAAAGAAGTTGTCGCTCTTCCTCCTTTTTGTCAGCTTGTGGCTTTGTGGTTGATAGAAATGATAATAAGGCAACCTATAGAACTCCCCAAAAAAACCAAACATTAGATATAGTATGTCAAATAACTGGTCAGCCCAAATGTATGTGACTGTAACTATGTTCTGTTTTTATTTACTTGTATTCACGTATTAGATTAGAACAAGCAGAAATGGATTAGGTCAAATTAGAAACAATAACATTTTTGACTCAAGCACACGTTCCACAGGTGGCACACAGAGCCCTCTCTATGGACACACCAGGCATTGCCCCAGCCCAGCCCAGCTTCACCACATATGCTGGTGCACCTCCCATCAGCCAGCTTGTCTTCGGGTCTCTGCTGCTCATGCGTGGGGCACATGCAAGGGATGTGTGTGCACATGTGAAGGGGGAGAGGTGCATGTGCTGTGGATGCTCACATTGCATTTTGGGGGTTCATACGTGCATGCATCCCCCCCAGCACCCTGTTTTTGACCTGGAAGACCTCCTGCACCAACATGAAAGCCAAAGCAGGGTGCAAGGGGACCACATGAGGCTCCTCTGTGCCTCATTTTGAGCCTGATAAACCTCCTGCACCAACATGAAAGCCAAAGCAGGGTGCAAGGGGACCACATGAGGCTCCTCTGTGCCTCATTTTGAGCCTGATAAACCTCCTGCACCAA